TCAAGAATGCTACTTGATCTTACACATACATACACGTGGATATATGTGTATGAAATGCTGTAAATTTGATCTTATGTGGCATTATATACTGAAGGAACGTCTGCAGTCAGTGTTCGTTCGACATACTTCCAAATGCAATTTCTGGATCGAATTTATGATCGACTGATGCACGATGATCAGCTGGCTTTGATTGGATGGAAGCATAAAGGAAGAAGGAAGGAGTAGCATAAGCAACAGATGTTAGGAATTAACATACAAGTTAACATTTAATGTTAAAGGTATCAGGGAATGTAATAGTTACGTTAACATATATGTTAATCTAGCTACTGTTAAAACATGTAAAATACAGCAAGGAGTTTAACAGGAGCTTAACATGGCCCACTAACAGAAATGTATCGCAAGAATATAACAGATATTTTAAACAGTATAACAAATATGTGCAACAGGCGCTGTTAATTTAGCTTACATACAGATAAACTGTAAATGTATAAGGATAAATTAGGTAAAAATTTTAATTAACAAACAAATTAATATTATATTGGACAATCATCAACAAAATTTTAAAATTGCATACTTTCATCTATATATATTCTATATATTCTTATATACAAGTTAACAATTTCTCCCTTCGATTCGATTATTTTTGTTGCTTTTGCTGTTTGTCAATAAGCCAGAACATTTGTTTGCCGAATATCATTTGATTGGGGTACAGTACAGCTTGGGCATAGAACATGAAACAACTATTTTAATTTGCATACAACAAAAATGAATGTGCAAAAGTCTGGCAAAAGAAATTGCAAGAAAAACAAACGAGCTAAGAAGAAAAACAGTTCTCTTATATGAAAACAAATAGAAGACTAAAAGAAAAACAAGCAAAGAAAAGTGTCGCCATTTTGATCAGTTTTGCTTCTAGTTCTTTTTAATTTGATTTTTTTTTTTTTTTTCGTATTGCCTAGTCTTTATGGGTGTTGAGCTCTTTGGTTAGTTGCACTGGGCTGCGGTTGCCGCTACTGCTGCGACTGTTGCTGTTGCGCGATGATGAGTCTGATATTTTCACGCTTAATCACTAACTGTCCCCATGAGCAGAGCCCCATTGGATGGGCGAACGTCTGAAGACACGAAACATTTTGGAACATGGCCAAAATACTTGACGCTGCAAGTGAAATGGCAGAACGTCGACCAAAATGCAAAAAGCAAAATGCAAAATGCACCAAAATGTCAAGCGGCACACCAAAATGAGGGAGCGAAACGATGCGAGAGGTGGCCGGCCAACAGGCTACATAAAAATCGAGCCAAAAGATGCGACACGGACTGACAGCAAGAAAATTGAAAGAACGACACAAGAAGAAGAAGAAGCAGAGCAGAAGCAGAAGAGGAAGAGGCAGCAGACGAAGTGGGGACAGCAACAACAACAACAGAGGAAAGGGAAAAACTTTAATTTTCTTTTATTGCGGTCGTCGCGCACAATAATTGCGCGTAAACAGCAAATGAAAAAGGAGAAACAGTGAGAGTTACATATGCGTGTGTGTGTGTGTGGGTGTGTGTGTGTGGGTGTGTATGTGATACATGAAATACTCTCTCTTCATTCAACTTTGTAACTATCTCTATCACATCTATCGTCAGATAACCTATCTCTAATATAACACATTATGCATATATCAAAATCTTTGTCTTTAAATATCTCTATCTTTGTATGTATATCTATGTATCTATGATCTGGATCTATGTATCTGTATTCATGTATGTGTATCTGTGTATCTGTTATGTATCTTTATCCATGTATCTGTATCTGTATATATGTATCCTTATCTATGTATCTGTATCTATGTTTCTGTATCTATGTATCTGTATTTATGTATCTGTATCTGTATCTATGTGTCTGTATCTACGTATCTGTATCTATGTATCTGTATCTATGTATCTGTATCTATGAATCTGCGTATATGTATCTATGTATATGTATTTATGTATTTGTATAGCTATGTATCTGTATCTGTGTATCTGTATCTATGTTTCTGTACCTATGTATCTGTATATATGTATCTGTATTTATGTATCTGTATCTATGTATCTGTAGCTATGTATCTATATCTGTGCATCTGTATCTATGTATCTGTATCTATGTATCTGTATCTACATATCTGTATCTACATATCTGTATCTACGTATCTGTATCTATGTATCTGTATATGTGTATCTGTATCTATGTATCTGTATCTATGTATCTGTATCTATGTATCTGTATCTACATATCTGTATCTACGTATCTGTATCTATGTATCTGTATCTACATATCTGTATCTACGTATCTGTATCTATGTATCTGTATTTATGTATCTGTATCTGTATCTATGTGTCTGTATCTACGTATCTGTATCTATGTATCTGTATCTATGTATCTGTATCTATGAATCTGCGTATATGTATCTATGTATCTGTATTTATGTATTTGTATAGCTATGTATCTGTATCTGTGTATCTGTATCTATGTTTCTGTACCTATGTATCTGTATATATGTATCTGTATCTATGTATCTGTAGCTATGTATCTATATCTGTGCATCTGTATCTATGTATCTGTATCTATGTTTCTGTATCTATTCATCTGTATCTACGTATCTGTATCTATGTACCTGTATCTGTGTATCTGTATCTATGTATCTGTATCTATGTATCTGTAGCTATGTACCTGTATCTGTGAGCCTGTATCTGTATCTAAATGCGACTCTGCATCTGTATATGTATCTTTCTCCTATATCTCTAGTCTCTATGTCTCTATCTACATATAGCTCCATCTTTCTAACGCTCTATTGCCCTACGGACATAATTCGCTCTATACTCAAATTCTAGTCCCATAACTAATAATAAAGCTAATAACTCCTAACTAATAACCTTTCTTACAAACTGCCTCATATAATGACAGTACTCTTAACTGGTAGAGCATAAAAGCATGCTGAAAATATTCCGTTGAGATTGAGCAACAGCTACAGGTACAGTAAAGCTTGCACGCACGCATCAAAAAAAGAAGAGAAGCCCCCTCAGCAATCTCGAGTGTGTGCGTAAAACGCGTGCTTGAATTGCTGATGATACACACGCACATACACATATACACACACACACACACACAAATAACTATATACGCACGCACAATGAGAGCAAGTCACAGACGCATGAATATTTGATGATTTCCATAAAGAAGATACATTTCAAATAAAAATTGCCAGCAATGACGTTCAATAATTTTCTTCTCTTTTGTGCATGACGCACTTTCATTTTGGCCCACGTCTACAATATGCAAAATGAAAACAGAAAACAGAATGGAAGAGCTCCGCAAGTAAATGTGAAAATGCTTTACATAATTCAAGGCGAAAACTAAACAAGTGCAAAGTTTTTGCTTCTCCTAATCGTACGTTGACCTCTCTCTGGTTGAGCTCATTAAAGTCAACTTCGTAATGTTAATTAGTGTATGCATTTATTAGTATGTAATACGAATAGGCTACATACTTACATACATATACTACGCTTTGTCGCATTTTCCTCCCGCCATTTTCCTCACTGTTGCTAACGCATAGCTGCCCAATGTGTGTATGTGTATGTGGCGAGGCGCAAAGCGACTCAAGAAAATTCTTGGCAAATGTTTTACGTTAATTGAACGCCAAGAAATACCAAAAAGGCAACATTGTGTGCGTGTGTGTTTATATGTATTTATGTATGTGTATATTATATATATTATTCTTTTAGAATTCACGCACAATACATGCTCAGCTGTTGTTGTAGGTCTCAACTGCTGCTGATTTGACTTTATAGATATATGTGTATACACACACACACATGAACACTCACACACACGCATGAGGTCTGCTTTGGCCTATACTGGGTAAATTAGCCCAATTAACCCAACTTATCATAGAGAGTCTTATACTCTCGCTCTTACTCTCTCTCTCTCTCTCTCTCTCTTAATTGGCAACATTTTGCCTTGTTATATATTTTTTTATTATTTCATATAATCTTGAAGACTATTTCTTTGCATCTGTCAGAAATCTGCTAGATCAGGTAGATATAAAACATATATACATAACATATGAAAATAAACATTTATATATACATATATATTGTTTGTTGTTTTTTTTTTTTTTTTTTTTTTTTTTTAATTCCCAAGAAGTCAACAGAAATCAAACCCCGTCTTTAAGCTTCAACTTTCATTGTTCTGCTTCTGTTCATTACTAAATATATTTTTAAGCTTTATACAAATTCTTTTATCTTCATTTTATTGAGATTCTTCAGGCCAGAAATGATCATAAAAACTAACATTAAAACACTTTTTGAGTGGGTGTAAAATTGTTGTCATATTTCATGGTAATTATTCATCAAAACTTTTGTCTCTTCAAATGATTTTTTTATACTTAATATCTCAAACGCCGATGCTGTAGAAATTTTCATAGCTCATATTCATTTCTCAAAATCTTTTATTGATTATTAAACTATTGTTTAATATGTCATAGTCTGCATGGAATTTAATGTGTGAAGTAAATCTTAAAGTTTCAGTTATTGTAGTTAAAAATAATTTCGATTCATTCAGTTTAGACTAAAATATTAATTCAACCTTTCTTAACTATGGATGTAAAAGCTGTAATAACTTTTGGATATATCTTTACCACTTCTATTTTAATTGTTTTTTGTTATACTCAATCCCAAAAATGAAGTGAGTATATTGGCTTTCTGTAAATTGCCCCTATTCCAAAGTTGTCCACAAATTCAATATACCCTGTTTGACACTCATTTCTATCGATTTTAAAGAATAGAAAACAAAATTAATTGCTTTCAATTAAATGAGTAAATAATGAATCAGTTCTACCTAAACATCAACAGAAAATAATGAAGTAAGTTAATGAAATGAATTCTGATTGTTAAATATATAATATTGTTAAACTGAAACCTAAACGCGTAATAAATAAATAATTGAATTAAATTACATATTAACGGTAATTGTCAAAGCTTACCTGCCAAAATGCCGCCGTGTGAACAACATCAAAGAGTCCCAGTCAAAAATAAACTATAATCCAATCTTGTTTAATTACATCTATATATGTGTATATCTATTTAGATATTTCTATTGTCTGTGGCTGTATCTATATGGCAAAATGAATGCGATCAAGCCACAGGAGTTTGTGTACTGTTAGGCGTGTTTTATTTTTATCAACTATTTCCTGAATTTCCTGAAATTTCCATCAATTGACTCTGCGACGTCGGCGGATTGTGTAACTGCAATGGAAATGAAATGACAAAAACATGAGTTTAAACCGAGTTTGATATAGATTCAGCTACATAATATGTATATCCTTAAATGTATATATATATATATTATGCATTATATGTTTTTGTGCGTCATTCATTGCAAAGTGAATTCCCTGTGCACATCTGAGCCAAAGTTATCAAATGTCTTTGCAGATGCAACAAGTTCGAGCTTCGCATTCCCCCCAAAGACCACAAAACTTTTCGTACAGCATTTCAGTTTCAGTATTTTATGCTTGTTGCGGTTGTTTATGCAAGCATTTGAATGACATGTGGTAGAGTTAAGCATACCCTGTAAATGTGGTGGGGATATAAGAAGAGTGAGTTAAGAAAAATAAAAATATATAAACTCCAAATTATGAGAAAAGGAGTCATAATCCAAGCTATATAGAAGAGGTAAGAGGTAGATAAGATATGTAAGTATTTTTTTTTTAGCAATAGTTTTTCGTAATATTTTTTTACCAGTTTTATTTTATTTTAAGAAGAATTTAACGGAGTTTCATAGAACATAAAAAAAAGTATATAGCTCTAGCCCTAATAATATAAAAGAAATACAACAACAACGATGAACTATCCTGATGACGGGAGTGCCTATCTTTTATATATAATATTTGAATAATCCTTCAAGAAAAATGAATTTAGAGAATAATGAAGTAACTCAATGGGAATGATCAAATCGAATCCCTTTTCTTGAAGGATTCTTTAAATAATATTTCGAAACTTTTCCGATATTCCAAATTAAACTAAATTTCTTACTTCATTTTAGCAATAAATCAAAGCAGCATTCACTTTAAGTTGCATTTGATTGAAAATCTTTTAAAGTATTCACAGAACTTTTACTTTGGATATATACAACATTTGATAAGCTCTTCACCCAATTTGACTCCCTAGCACATTACGCTTCGTCAAGCATGGCATTTCCAGGGTATACATGAGTGTGGAGTGCGCGTGCTGTTCTCAACGCCCACATGCCAGGCATTGCCGCTCGCCTCTATTCTGCGTGTGTGCATGAGTGTTATGAGTGTTGACTGTGTGTGTATAAGTGCGGTTGTATGTCAGGTGTGTGTGTGTGTGTGTGTATGATTGTGCGCATAGTATTTCGTGTGGGTGGCTAATGAAATGCTTCAACAGCAGCAGCGACAGCAATCGCATCCATCCAGAGCAGCAGCAGCAGCAGCAGCAGCAGCAACTACAACTACAAATACACCTACACATACATAGGTATATATATATATATATATATATATATATATATATCATTGATCAGTGTTGCCCCCCTTTGTACACATATATATATATATCTGTGATGTATTGTAACTGTAGCTATATATGTATTGGTAGCTCTGAGTGTGTGTTGCCATGGCAGCTAGCAAGAGGAGCTTTTCCAGCGGGTCCCAATAGTCTGCAGCATTTTTTCCTTTTTCGACGAAGCGAGACGATAGTAGGATGGAGCGGGAGAGAGAGAGCGAGACAGGGAAAGCGAGTGAGACAGTGTGGAAGCTGGGCAAACAAACAAATGGACGCAGCCGAATTCAGGCAGCACAGTTGTCTATAATAAATTCTACATTTTTTTCTTCATGCTGCTGCTGTCGTGTGTAGCCAACCGCCCGCCCGTTGCCACACCCCCTTGCGTCTGAGTGCCGCCTCTCCTTCCCTTTGGCTTTGGTCTTTGTCATGGTTTTTCGACATTTCTTCTTCATTTTATTTTATTTCATTTTTTTTTTTTTTTTTTTTTTTTACTTGTGCGTCTTCTTGTGGCGCTTTTCACTTGATTTTTATGACATGCCCTATACGTCGCACACAGACAAACAACTTTTCACACAGCATTACGCCCACCTATGTGTTGGCGGTGTTGGTAGAGGAAGCATATGAAAATCAAAATGGAAATGAAAATGAAAATGAAATTGTCGAATCGAATGGGGTGACAAGACAGCTCCCCCAGGTCCCCAACCCACCCAGCCCCACTTAAATCATCCCAATTGTGGACTGAGGGACGTCTAGCAATTAATGAATAAGTTAACAAATATTTCGTGTAAGTCTTTTTCAGCATTTTGTTGCATAGTGTTGTTGTGTTTTGCCTGGTATTTTCTTCTAATATATTTTTCGTTTTGTATATATGGAAATTTGGGTTTTCAATGGAATAAACTAACACACAGTTCGTGTAAATATTTGCCATAATAAACTCGTTGTACAACTTTGTTGCATAGAGTTCTTATATACAGAGCTGGCCGTTATTTGATAAATCTAAAAAAATTTTCAAATATTTCTCGATAAGAATTTCCATAATTTATAATAATAATTCACAAATTCCTATACTTTGTTGAAACGATGATATTATTGCACTTTCCTTAGTTGACATTTATTTGATATAAAAATTTTTACTTTTTTTTACAAATTGTCTTTTATTTCTTTATATCACATATAAATATTGAAAATCATTATCATAATCATCATTTTACGAGAATTTTGTATAGCCATTATAAGGGTATAATGGATTGGTCGAAATGTATGTAAACGGCAGAAGGACAGACCCCATAGGCGATACGATCTAGGCCTCTCCGTCTGCTTGTATATGTGAGCGCTCCGATCTCAGAACCTATAAGAGCTAGATGCTTCGAATTTTCTTTTATTAGTCTTCTATCGATATCGATAACTATTCCTGTGTTAGTGTTATCGATTACAAACAATATTAACAATAACAATCAGTTATAAACAAAAACCACAAAGTATTTTCGTATGCCACATTGTTGTCATAATCTCGTTGAACAGTGTTCTGTTTTTCCATTTTAGATTTTGCACATTTTTTTCATATTTTATATTTTTTTATGTGTATTAAAATATTTGCTTCCTTGTTTTTTATTAATTCTAATATTTCCCATAACAAACACGTGCTACATTTATGTTGCACAGTGTTGTTATTGCGGTTTTTTTGTCTATTATTTATTTCATTTAAATATTTTTTTTTTTTTTTTTTTTTTTTTTTTTTTTGCTGCCTTCTCGAAAAATGGCGTCGTGTTTTGCGGGCTTTTCGTAATGCCTGGCATTTGGCCAAAGTCTACACAAATTTGCGTAAATAAACAACAAAGCATTTTGTTGCAATTTTCAAAAAGAGTCGTTAATGCTTCTAGTTGTGTGCCCAGTCAAAATGTAGATGAGAAAAAAAAAAAAAAAAAAAAACAAGTACAAAAAAATAGCAAGAAAAACAAATCAAGTTGCACGAAGTTTTGCAAGCAAAATAAAAAGCAAATAAAACAAGCAACAACATGCGCAGCGAGTGCCCAAAAAAAAAAAAAAAAAAAAAAAAATTAAATAAAGAGGGCACAGCGATATATGAATATGCCATATAGACTCTATATAGGCTAGGCGCACATGTCTAACTGCCTGCATTCTTTTTTTTCCAAAATTTTGTTTTGTTTCTGTAGCGTATTAAATTTCAACGGAAGCGGAAATGCTTAGCGCATGCGATTGGCATGACAGACATGTCGTCTAAGCCCACTTACATGCCATCCCGCAACCCTCAACCCACACACACACCCCTTACAATCCTAAGGTTAAGCAGCTAAAGCCAGAATCTGACCTCAGGCACTGCTCAAGCAGGCAGAGAAGGCAAGGCAAGGATTTCACTTTGTCTAGGGCAATGCTTTTCATAAATACTCTCAGATTATGGAAGTGAGATAGAAAATATATATTGTGAAATATTTAGTTTATAAATCGTATATTTGTATATATAATATACATTAAAATGAATGGAAATTTATGAGCATTTAAAAACGAATTCACATAAACTTTTTGATATATTACACAAATAAAAAATTATATGCATAAACATTCTTGCTTGACATTTTTTAGATTTAATTTTTCTTTTGTTTTGAATTTTATTCTTGTTTTTTTTTTTTATTATTATTTTTTTTTATTTGGTTCATATATATACTTCTTGTTTATAGATACATATACATAGTGTATCTATGTGCTTATGTATATCTAGATATATAGACATACATATGTATATATAGCTTTTAGAACACCTAATAATCACAAATTGATTTAGACAACAAGAAAAGTCCAGCTACATAATTATCTTAATATCTTTATTCCCTATATGTGTCAATCTACCCAACATTAGAGTAAATTAAAGCCATTTCAAGCCAAGTGTAGATGTGTGTGTGTGTGTGTAGTGTATGAAAACATTTACGAATTGACAACAGCTTTCACACTTTCAATGTGCAAACACTTAAAACACATCAACCAAAAGCCGCCGCGAGCTCAGGAGCGAGCAGTGACAATAGAGTGTGTGAGAGAGAGACAGCGCTTGGAATGTGTTGGACTTAAAGGATTAGATGGCTTCAAACTAAGAAGCTTTGCAGCTTCCAATTGCGCCGCCAGCCATAGCACGATGCTAGTTGCGAGCACTAATGTATAATGTAGTATATAAAAACATTCAGATAATGTGCGGAAATACTTTAATTATTTTTATAAATTTAAGGTAGTTTAAAATTTAATATCATTATTAACATATTATAGCGATAATCTTCTAAAAGAAACGAAATTGCTTACAATATTCCATGGCAGTACGTGTGGCGCCATCTAGCTTTCATGGCGCACAAACGATCGCAACGCTGCTGTCGCCATCTGTGCGCAACGATCATGTGACGCGCCATCTGTTGGCCAGCAACATGCACTGGCAACATTTCACCCATGCTCAGCAACATTTCGGACATTGGACACAAATTTTGTTGTTGCTGCTGTGCTGTTGTTGTTGTTTGGTGTAGACAAACAACACAGAACAGATGTTTCGATTTTTATTTTGGGAAATTTTATTGCTTTGACAGAATTTCACTTTTCAACACAGAAAAAACGCAAAAAGCATTTGGCTTTGCTGATTTCATTTAGGGAAATTTTCAATGGATTTGATTTATTTGCACAATTTGTTGGTAATTTTGCTTTAAGGGCAATTATCACACACAGCTGAGACGATTTGGCGTCCTTCGGCGCGAAATTTTCCAATTGCAAATTTTTTACACAATTGCTTCAGATTTGAAATTTATTAAATATTTTTTTTTAATTTGTATTTAGTTAAGAGAGCTGGAAAGGCAGAGAGTGAGCGAACGAGAGTGAGAAATGAGAATATGCGCGGACGATCACGACGCGTTGCACGGTTTTAATTTGTAGGAGGATCGGTTCGACTGCGGATTGAATTGGGATCGAAATGAAAAATATGTCTGTGCACGATATTTCCTACACTTCACTTTACTGGCGCAGAAAATCGCATATACAACGAGAATGTATAATTATAAATAAATGTTCTATAAAAAACGCTTTTTTGTTCGTTTGTTTCGCTCTTGCTTTGTTGTTGTTGTTGTTGTTGTTGCTGTCTCTCTGTGTGTTTGTGTATGAGTGTGTGTGTGTGTTTCTTGTGTTTTTGAGCCATTTTAATTTTAGAGGTAACCCAAAATAAATAACCAACAATTCCGCAGAACGCGGCCAGCCATCACCTTTTCAACACAAATTGAACAGTACTACAACAACAACAACAACAGCACCAACAACAACAAATTCAAATCCCAACAAACATTTGAGAATCCCTCAAATTACAGCCCCGCCCACCGTCTCCAGCCTCTCCTAGCTTACATCTTCCTTCTGGCTTTCGCAGCTAAACGTTTTTAAAGGCGTTTTAAATGGGCGGATTTTCGTGGAAAATTAATTTTTTTTTTCGTTCTTTCACTTTTTTTTTTTGTGGTAAGGCTTTGCTGCTTGACTTAGCCTCTAAGTCCCAAAAGCCAAAAATGATTGAAGAAGAAGCTGCAGCAGCTGAAGAAAAAAAAAATAAGTAAAGCCTTTCCCCACACTAAATGTCTCTTAAAGAGTTTCTAATGCGATTTTGAAGCAAATGCATTTAAGAAACAATTACGAGTTCATGGATATTTATAAAGATTTTGTCATTAAAATTTATAATATTACCAAGTGAATGAAGTTTGTTTGGCAAATACTTTTTCCCCTTTGATTATGAAATTAATCTAAGATTTATTGCCTATATTAGGTTTAATGCAAAGTCGATAAACGTAGACATCTATCGATTGTTGCATGTCTTGAATCTGCCTATTCTATTCTATATTACATATTGTACTGTTATCATTAAAATACCATCATCAGCAAGCTATAAGTGTAAATCGATATAACGGCTAGGAACAAATCATAGCTCTAAATGTATATCGATAAAACGGATCGATACACGTATATCGATATCAACCGATTGAATAAGAATATTTAATATAGTTTATGTTTATAGCGGGAATGTAAATCGCTTTAAATACAATCGATATTTAGCAGGGTATCGATAACAGATTTAGATTTATTTCAGTTTTTATCTATATGCAACAGCTGAGTCTCTCTCACTCTCTCTTATTGAATGCACAACACACGACATCAACTACTACAAGTTATTGCCTATCGCCTATCGATAACCGAAACTTCACACGCAACTTGCACACGAAACAAGAATCGATTGCTTTTTACTCTTTCGCTGTTTTTATCGAATGCGACGCGTTTGATTGCTCGGCTGATGCGCTAATAAAGCTCTTAATTCTGTCCGATCGCTCGAAATAAATCGAAAGGCCGACACACACACACATGCACACATACACACACACACTGGCGCATACACTGAAATATATTTTAAAATTAAAGCAATTTTTGTTGTTGTTGTTCTTGTATTATTTTTGGTTTTTCTTTGTTTTTGTTATTGTATAAGTATTTTGGTACGCAGTCTATGCCGCTCGCTGTGTGTGTGTGTGTGTGAGTGCTGTTGTTGTTGCTTTCGCCTATTACAATCTCCTTTAAACTGAAAAGCCAAAGGAAATCTGTTGCACTTGCATAATTTCAAAATCATAAATAAAAGATTAAAAATTGCATTTTAATTTACTTGCGTCGCGCTCTCCTTATAGACTTTGTTTGCCAAAAGAAAATAACAAATGATATGCATACGGGCGTGTGTATGAGTGCTACGTATAATTTAAAATTAGCACGCAAGTGAAAAAAAAAAAAAAATAAAGAAAACATCAATATTTTTACATACATCTCGGTTCAATATGCACGATTTTCTATGGAAATTCCAACAAGGAGTTATTTTTAAACTAGCTTGCCGATGTCTGCCAGTTGCTCTTCCCTCTCTTTCTCTGTGTGTGTAGGTGGGTGTGTGTGTGTGTGTGTAAGGGGTGTATGTGGCAGAATGCGTCTGTTTATTGTCAAAAATCCTTAGCAGCAGCGCCAAGTGTTAGGCGCAAATAGAACTTAGGTAAACTAAAGCTGTATCTCCCTCTCTTTTTGCATTGCTTCTTCCACAGTTTTCTACTCTCTATATGTTTGTGGTTTTCTCTCTCTCTCTCTCTCTCTCTGTCATATATACATTTATTTATACATTCATATAAATAATATGTTTATCTATACTCTCCTCTCCATATCTCTTGCAGTCTCTATCGCAACTTTCCTCTTAACATGTATACTCTCCTCTCTCTCTCTCATCTGTCCCTCTTACCTTTCTTCTGCTTTCATTAAATCGACAGCTGTCTTTCTCTGTCGCATCTCTATCCATCTACTTTCCCCTCGATCTATAGAGATTATCTCCCTCACTCTCTGCTTAACCTCGATTTCTATTCCTCTCTATACATTATTTATTTCATGTCTATCTCTACATTCCCTTTATCTCTGCTTTCCACATACTATGTCGCTTGCTATTTTCATCTCTTTCTAGCTCATTAAATAGGCATTTTTTTTTCTTTTTATATGTCTCTATCTCTCATTCTTTTTTATCTACATTCCATCTGTTATTCTATCCCTCAATTTATGTCTTATTTCTCTATCGTTATTTCTCTATCTCCATCTCTCTCTCACGCTCTCTCTCTTTCTTCGTTTGCCTTTTTCTCCTTCTGTTCCTTTCTGTTTCCTTCTCCTTCCTCTGTAATATTCTCTCTCCTTGCTTCTCTCTTACTTTGTATATCACTGATTTAACCTGGATCTGTATTTAATCCTTTCTTTTCTATATTAGAGTAAAGAGAGAGAAAGCGAGCTATCTTCCATTTTACCGTTACAGCCTACAACTTAATGTCGCCACAAGTCGTACCCAATCCGCATGGCCTTTTGCGTGCCCCTACTTTAAAGTCGCTTTGCGCCTCAATGTATGCTACAGCAAAGTTAATATATTAATGCGAAATTCAATGAGTTTTACACATACACACACACACACACGCAAACCAGTACACCTACACACCTACACACACACACACACTCACACACATTACACGCTTAATTAAGGACGCTAGGATCTGGGCGAGCATTACTGTCCCTCTAATGGAGCGCAACTAAGGAGCCCTTGTTCAGTTACTACTTGCGGTTAATATTTAACACACATAAACACATACACACACACATTGATAGAGAGCTCAACGCACCTGTGTGCTGTGTATGTAAGCGTAAAATTTGATTGAAAGTGATGAATTAATGAGGCGTTAAATGAATAAATGTTAAATGAATTCTCTCTGTTGCCGCCCTATTGAACCGGAAGTTGGCCGCAACAACAACAACAAAAACAACTACAACAACAACAACAACATAAATGGCGTTAAGTCCTCTGTGGCTTGCAGCGATGTAACAAAACTTCAAACTTTCAACTGCGCATTGTAAAAACTAGCTTAATTGATGGTATAGAGGGAGAGGAAGAGTGGGAGAGGGAGAATGGGAGAGAGAGATGGAGAGGCAGGGTAGGTAAGAGCGATTGGGGTTAGGACAGAAATGTGTTAATCAGAAGCTCAACTATTGTTGTAGTTAAATCTTGTTTAAGTAGAGGAAATGTAAGAGAGAGAGAGAGAGAGAGAGAGAGAGAGAGAGAAAGGAATAGGGAGAGAGAGAGTAAGAGAGTGCAAGGATTTCTTAATTGAAGCTTAACTCTTATAATAGGTAAATCTTGTCCAGCTTGAAATTTTCATATTTGGTTTTTGAGGTTTTAGATTGGACTCCATTATTTATCTGAATAGCCAAAGGCCTGTGCAGTCTCTGGATCAGCAAAGTTGAAGTACTTTTATACAGCTTGCAAATTTCGGTTACAAAGTTCTCAATTGATTTGATAAACATATGACAGATGATAAGGTTTGCTAAGTTAATTAGAGTGAAACAAAGTTGTTGCCAATAAATAAAAAAAAATTGCTCAAATATTTTAACTACTAATACAAATTTCATATTTAAAGTTTACCCTAGTAAATATTAGATATATATTCCCTCTTATATAAACTTTAGGTCTTATATATGTTTGAAAATCAACTTTACCTGTATATTATGGCTGCAGTCTGTGAAAATTTTGCTGCATTAAGAATCAAACTGCAAGAAAAATAGAAGAGAAAAATATATATTAGTATAAAATGTAATTAATAAGTTAGAAACTAAGAGCAGTGTAAGAAATAGATATTAATAATATTGTTTCCCACATCAGTTTAGCTCATTCATCTCTAGGCATGCCCAATATTTTTGCCATGACTGTCATAAGTCAATGAGTTATTTAAAGTATCATTAGCTCTGCTCGCTAAATAATTTAATAACTCTGTCATTTTCACAGACAAAACTAATTTAGTGAATAACAGGCTTTTTTAATTACCTTTTTTTTTGGCAATGTTAAAAATATCTTTAAAGTTGCATATTTAGAACAGATTTATGTAAATTTTGTATTTTTCATGTTTAGTAAAAACAATAATGAAGTCGTTCACTGAGTTCATTTCTGCCATTAGTTTACAGTAAAACTTCAATTTGGCATTCAATTTCTTTTGCTTTGCGTCTCTCTGTATATTTTTCCATACTTTCTAGATTTCTCTTTTTCTCCTAGTACTATTCAGGATTTCTCTTGCTCTTTGTTTATTTGCCTCTCATTATTTTTCATCTTTTTATTTTCATACACATACACATGAACATCTCCGTTCTGACTTAACTTTTGCCAAAATATTTCAAAAGTAATTTAAATAAAAGAACAAAGGAAATTCCTAAACATTTCAAGGACATCAAAAGGCCTCTTACAACTGTAAACAGCTTAAAAGAATAATTTAAGTGAGCAATAAAAATATTTGCTTATCAACTAATTGCCAAAAAAAAAAAAAAAAAACGAGCCCAAAATACTTGAGAACTTTGTAAACAATTGTTTAAACTATGCGGCAGCTGACTCAAAATGTTAGATAAAGCTAATCTCCAAGTGATATGGCTGTATCTACATATATAAATAGATACGGGAGTTATCTATAAATAGAACTGCGCTCACTCACATAGATTTACATAATATTAAATTTACAAATATTTAATTTGCTGTTTGTTTGATTTTTGTTGAGTTTTTCCATTTATGTTAGCGCCACGAAATGATATGCAGGCTATTAAATAAATGGGAATAACTAAACACGCACACACACACACACACACAGAAAAAGATATGCATATGCATGATTGTGTGTGTGTGTGTTTGTTAAGGATAATGCGATTTTATGCTGTAACAAGCTATTAGCACCGGCAAGCGTCAAATCGTAAACGAAATCCCAGAAGTCGCAGCCATCCAAGTGCCAGCGAGTGCCAGGCACGCAAAAAAGAGTTTACACACACCCACACACCGACAAACTCACACACACACTCACACACACACCTGCCTCATATCTATGTAAATTGTAAAAAATTGCAATTTAGTTTTATGAGCTCGCGGCTGCAACGTGAAGCGAAAAATAAAGCCAAAATAAATGTTATGATAGATACCAATTTGTTTGCCATTTGGCTGGAGTGGAGGCAGCAGGAGGTAGACAGAGCGGCGGGCAGAGTGGGCGTGCCAGTTGCATTGGCTATCAAAATGCAAGCTGCGTGCAACGCGGTGTCAATCACTCAAGCCAAGCTAGCAAAGCAAGCAAGTTGCAAGTGGCATGTGGCAAGTGCTACCACAGAGCGTAAAACAAACAGCGCCGCATTGCATTTCCGCTGCGACAGATAACAACAACAACAACGGCGACAACAATGAGAACTTGCTATGCAAATGCAGCCGCGTTGCAAGGTTCTAAAAATTGAGACCCAACCCAGGTCCAAGCCCAGGTCTAGGCAAAAGCCATTCACTTCGTGACTTTGGTCAGCTGCGAATTGAAGTTTTCGCTTTCGCTTTTGCTATTAAGTCTTAAGTATAAAACATTGAAGCGAGATGCAGTTGAATAGTTACGAAAGGCAAAATAAAAATTTGTTTAAAATTCGTAAATGAAAACGCATTAAATATATAAATATATACTCAATGTATTCAATATTCAAGATTACAATTTATTGCTTTAGATCGGTTTACACCATATCCACCATATACACCACACACCAGAGACCATACACACCATACACTTCTCTATTTCACTCTCCAAATCACCCTCTTCACAAAAGAGAGCATGCAACAATTGCCTGAGATCAAAAAAACCAATGGCTGGCAATGCATAGGCTACAGCTGCTCTTCACTCATATAACGGGATCAAAAGCTAAATCTCCTTGCTTTGCCCGCGCTCTAAGACAGCTGAGATTCGCTCATATAACGGCATCATAGACAAGCTCTTCAGGTCATGCTCGCTCTCTTTCCAACGCTCTCTTTCCAATGCCTGCTATAACGGCAGCAAAAGAAATATATGTAAATCAGAGCCAAACAGTACAGGCAATAAATATCTGTCCTGTGTTTAGATTTACTCTGTTACTCTTTACATCATATGTGCTGCATTCTAAAACATTCCCCACAAGTTTTCTAACCGCCCTCGGCATTGCATATTAAATGCCAAGTGCATATAAATTCATATGCATTTTCCAGTACAAGCATGTCCTTGAAATAACACACAACAGCAGCAACAGCAGCAGCAGAAACGACTCTTGTGGCAAGTGTGGCGTCGACTATGAACCTGTCTACGACTTTGGCACTGTGCCTGCTGCCTGTAATTGATAAGCCACAAAAGCCCCGCCACGTACTCCCCCAACCAAGCCCAAGTTGAGTGACTGTCAAGCGAACGCCATTTGCATTTCTAATCGAGTTGAAAATGTCGCCGGAAACGGTCGCAAAACATAAAACCAAATACCCACACACACACACACATGCACACACATACACACAGATACGCGACTATTTTAGCATATTTTGATTGGGCGTTAAATTTTGACAGACTAAAGGCAAAAGCACAACGCAAACGCCACAAAGTATGCAGCAAAGCCAAAAAGTCAACATCGGTTGAAAAATAGCTGCAAGCTGAATTTCTGCGCGCGCGTGTATGTGTGTGTGCGTTTACTTTGCCGTTGCTTTTTTTAGTTGCAGCTAATTTTAGAGGCGAAAGTTTAAAGTTGAAAGCATTTCCGCATTGCATGTTATTTTGTTGCTGCGCTGACGTCAGCCGGGCGACGCGAGCGACGCCACGCAGCCATTTTGAATGCAATTTTTAAATGTTAAGTAAATAATTTATGCGCCGCTTTCACCGCTGGGATGGTCTGGATATCCCCAAAAGCCACGGCAGCTAATTGAAAATTCCGCTGCATAACGCAAAGGCGCATTAAGCTCAACTCGCATTTGAGTGGGTTTCGCTTTGAGCGCATTAACTGCTGCCTCTGCCGCTGCCACTGCTGCACACGCATTGAGCTTTTAACGAGCAAAGAGTACACGACGAATAAACACGCCCCCTAGCGTCAGCAATTGCAATTTCACCAGTGCGCCGGCCAACCCTCGTTCAAGTTCAATGCAATGCCAAGAGGCCAGCAACGCTGTCCTTGACGCCAACGCCGATGTCGATGTCGATGTCGACGCCAACGCCAACGCCGACGGCTGTGCAAAGCGTGCAACAAAGCTGCCAAGCGACGCTTAACATGGGCAATGGCAACTGCCCGTTATTTTTTTCTTTTCTACTTCTTCTTCTTTTTGCGTAATGTGGGCGTGCGAGGGCGAAACGGTCAGCCCTTGCAACAGGGCAAAGAGTGTGGTGGAAAGGTGGATTTCACACGTGTGTTGTGTGGTGTTTCTGTGCTTTAGTATGCGAGACGATTGCTTGAGCAAATCCCAAAGGTAAACAATGCAATGTGAAATGTGAGGCATGGGGAGTAGGAGACTTGTGAATGCACTGGTAATGGTTTACAAAACTATTAGGAAAAAAATTATAATCAATTAAAATAAAAGAAAGAAATGTAATCAAAACAATATTTTTAAAAATTTATAGAATAAAACACAAATATTGAAAAAAAGTTAAAATTTCTGGTGAATACAAAATTATATATAATAAACAGAAAAATACTAAAAATGAAGAATGTTAGAAAATGTACAGAATTAAAATAACTAGATTATAAATTATAAAAAATAAAATAAAATAGATGAACAAAAATTATTGATCATTGCTCAGGTTAAATTATTAAACCTAGGTTTTTCCTGTGTGCTTAGTTTATAGGGAGGTATATACTAGTAATGCCATCAGTGTAAGTACTTAGCCGTTCTGGCTAAGCGTAGTTGTCTATCTAAACTGTAGTTACTCAATATAACGCCAAATACTATTAAGTATTGACATGTACTTGAATAATAACTACAACTAAAGCGTTTAGCGTCTGCCACCTTCTTCGTTAGTTTGTTTGTCCTCTAATTAGTTTATGCGTAACACTCAAGAAAAATTGTATAAGAAAATGCGATTAGTTGAGACAGAGCACACGAGAACAAGCGTTACGACTAGCCGTACATATAGATTTTATAGTACTATAGATACTAATAGTAGTAACTGTCTAGCATTCAAGAATGGTATATTTTTGTTATGCCTAGTGTTTATGAATATTACTCAGACTATATGGAAGTACCTTAAGGGTAACCATGCATTAAAAATGTAAAGCTTAAGTTAGAAAGTGTCTATTTTACTATGAAACCATATGGCACGTAATATCAATCAATTGTTTTAACTACATTTAATAAAGTATCATTTATTGCTGTACTTTGCGGATGTGTAAACAAATTCCGATCATAAAATTCTACTCTATTGATATGAAATTTTCCTATCAATATAAATATATGTATGTAAATATAAACCATATAAGCATACAGCTGATAAGAATTAAGCAATAATTGAGAAATGTATCAGCTAGACTCGACATAACGTATACGTAATCCATGACGTATACGTAATATTGAAATATTCAGATATCTGCAATGGGCTGTCCGATTTATTGGCATCACGTGAAAAGCAGAGAAATTATACATATTTGTTTACAAATCTACATGCAACAATCACAAGTGTTACACTCGCAAACAAAGTAAACAAATAAACAAGCAAACAACAAAAGAGGCGCAACTCGTTTAATCAGCTCAACAAATAGGAAAAGCGCTT